TGACCAGAAACCATAATCTAAGCATTTTAGAGACAATAAAGTACAGGGTCATGTTTTTCAACGAACACAAACCTGGAATTTAAGGAGCAGTAATCAAGAATCTTGTTTTGCCTATGGACTCACCATGAAATAATGCCAGTAACCGCATTGCTGAGTGCCTAATATGTACTAGTCATTGTGCTGAGTAGTTTTACATCTATTATCTCATTTCTTCTAAATATGATCATTTTCCCTCCAGGAAGAAAAAAGTTAATTACAGTCCTGTCCATAAGGAGGAACCAATATCCCAAGGTTATGGGGAATCAAGATTATGTGCAGCTGAGGGGGAAAAGAAGGGACCCAAGCTGTACACAGAATGTTAAGGGCCATGTCATTTATCTCAGAGCTGGAAGACTAGGATGAGTTACCAGACTTCATTCTGGTTTGAAAAATGCTTCCACTATGGGGGGGGGGGCACCTCTACAAGCAATGGTACTAACTGGGCAGGCAGCTCTTGAGTACAAACCACTCACTCCTTTCATCTGCTTCCTTTCTGTCAATGAGGGTTCAGGCCATCACCTCTGGCTAAAGAATAATACATTCCTTGAGGGGAAGAACCATTTCACACTCATCTCAGTTACCCCAGAGCATAATATAGTGGCCGGCATACACAAGACACTCAGTAGATCTTTGCTCACTGAAGCCACAGTCACTAAAGTGAGGGCAGGCCTCAAGTCTTAGATATTATTACTCCCAACCATTCAAGCTCTACTATACCTCTTGTGATAATCCTGCAAAAGTTTTACTGAACAAAGCCTTCCATGGATTCTTGACCCAATAAGACTACAGTAAACCTGCAAATGCACATTACTATTATTTTACCTACATGCAAGTTGGATCCCATCAATGACTAACTACTAAGGGAGGCAACTGCCACATGAGGCAATTAGAAATCACCTGACATGTTGGCCACCAGCAGTATGGTCAACTAGGGTTGTTTTAGCACTGACTAAAAGCAGATTGGCCAAAGAGGACCTTCACTTTCACTTATTCAAGGAAGAGAAGAAACCACTAGTCATGCAATTTGGGTTTCAAAGATTTTTACCACAATTCATCTGTCTCAATTAAATTCAAGATTACACTCTATACTGTGCCTTTTTCCCCCAGGAGGCAACTAACAGGCCAAAGAGTTTTTGCTTTGTAAGATCTCAACCTTGGGGCAAAATCCAGACATTCAGGGAGCTTTTAGGTTACCAGGTGCAATCCCTAGTAGACTACCCTGAGCCCTACACATAACTGAAAATACATACTCTAAAGACAGTTGGCCAGTCCATTCAATGGACTGCTCTCTTCCTGTGCTGCTTCTTACACTGATAAGAACTTCTAGGAATCAGGACACAGACAGGGCAGGAGCTCTAAGTCAACTGTGCTGCTTCTGATAAGCCAGAAGGTTCAGGATAGGCCAGGAGCCTTGAAGTACAGAAGTCTGTCATGTGCATTTAGTGAAGTTGTAACTATATGCAATTATCTCAAACAAACGTTGAGCCTGACTCCAAGAAGCAGTTCAATCTCAGGCAGAGCACTAGTCTATAACTTCTAAATACACCCAAAGGCCTATCATGTTGAGAAATTCCACAACACAAATTTCTAATATCAAAGAATATCTAATAGAAGGAAGAAAACACTCAAATTAGTTCTCACTATACCTTTCCACCAGGACTTGATGGAATACTCATTGAGATGTTTCAACAAATAGATGCAACACTGGAAGTGCTTACTCGTTTATGCCAAGAAGTTTGGAAGCCAGCTACCTGGCTAACCAACTGGAAAAGAATCCATTTCTTAATGCCCATTTCAAACATGCAAAAGAATGTGAAAATTAACAAACAATATCAATATCACAGTTAAGTAAAATTTTGCATTTTGCTGAAGATAATTGAAAAATGGTTGCAGCAGTACCTCAACAGAGAACTGCCAGAAATTCAAGCCAGATTCAGAAGAAAACATGGAATGAAGGATAATACTTGGATGAAAGCAGAGAAAATGTTTACCTGTGTTTTATAAGCATTCAGCTGTGTGGATCATAACAAATTATGGATGACAGTGCAAAGAATAGGAATTCCAGAACACTTCATTGTTCTCATGAGGAACCTGTACACAGATCAAGCAGCCATTCAAACAGACTAAGTGGATATGCATAATTTAAAACTAGGAAAGGTGTGCATCAGGGTTGTATCCTTTCGCTAAACTTTTTCAATCTGTATGCTGAACAAATAATCTGAGAAGCTGGACTATATGAAGAAGAATGTAGCATTAGGAGTAGAGGAAGACTCATTAACAACATGGGATATGCAGATGACATGACCCTGCTTGCCAAAAGTGAAAAGGACTTGAAGCACTTACTGATGATGATCAAAGACTACAACCTTCAATATACATTATAGCTCAATATAAAAAAAATAAAAATCCTCACAATTAGACCAATAAGTAGTATCACAATAAATGGATAAAAGATCAAAGTTGTCAAGCATTTCATTTTACTAGGATCTACAATCAATGCCCAAGGAAGCAGCAGTCAAGAAATCAAACAACTTCTTGCATTGCGCAAATATGCTGCAAAAGACCTCTATAAAGTTAAAGAGCAAAGATGTCACTTTGAGGGCTAAGATGCATGTGACTCAATCCATGGTATTTTCCATCTCCTCATATGTGTGTGAAAACTGGTCAACGAATAAGGAAGACCACAGAAGAACTGATGCATTTTTATTACGGTATTGGTGAAGAATATTATATATACCATGGACTGTCAGAAGAACAAACAAGTTTATCTTAGAGGAAGTACAGAAGTGAGAATTGGCCAGACTTTGTCTCTTGTACTTTGATCATGTTATCAGGAGGGACCATCCTTGGGAAGGATATCATTCTTGGTAAAGTAGAGGGTCAGCAAAAAAGAGGAAGACCCTCAACAAGATGGATTGACACTGGCTGCAACACTGGGCTCAAGCATGGCATAGAAACCGGCAGTGTTTCATTGTGTTGTACAGAGGTCACTGAGAATCAGAACCAACTTTATGGCACCTAACAAAAGCAACAACATACCTTTTCACTACACACAAAATTAGGCAGTGGTAGATAACATTCACAGACAGAAGTGCCTATCAGCTGAGGCCAGCCTAGAAGGTAGATGATGACTCCAAAATAGAGAGTGACTTCTCCCTCTCCAACTTAGAGTGATCTTTTAGGTCTTCAAAGGCTATTCTTCTCTAGTTCCAAAGTCAATCAACCACTTGCCTCTTTGAAAAAGCTCAAGCCAACTCAGCTAGCATTCCCATTCCTTCACTCCCTCAGATCAGTTAATCAAATGGCAGCATGGTTCAATGGAAAGAATACAGATTTATTTATTTTTACTTATTAGCAAGTCCCCTACTTTGTCTGTATCTTGCTTTCTCATTGGTAAAAGAAGGACAAGAATATCCATCTGATACAAGAGAATATCCTATTCTTCCCTTGGAAATTTCTCAGGTCAGATGATGCTGGAAAAAGTGAGCCAGAGATATCCTACATGGAACTTGTTCCAATGGAAGTTGGTCATGGGATGAACTGTGGCAACACAGCACCACTGGCCAGGATTTAATAAATACAAACCAAAACTGGGAAGAGACGTGAATATGAAAATGACCTAAATATAATTAATTCTTCATTAAATAGGGGGAAAAAAATAGAAACCCTTCAGGTCCCTTGAAACATCAAAATATCAGATGTTGAGGTCAACAGAGCCCAGTGGATTCCAAACCCAATGAAATAGAAGCTAGTGTGTGCACCAGTGCAAAAGTACCCAGTCTTTTGTATAGTGACTGTACAACTGGACTGAGCCAACAACCCTTATCCCCAAAGCCAAAGAATATGTCTGAGATGAGGCCCAGAATTGTGCTTGGCTTAAGATTCTTGTAAAAGGCAATTCAGACAATGTCTATTTACTGCTGTTCTCCCTGGAGGCAGTACTAATTGTAAGAGAAGCTGACCTGCTCATTAAGTGAGCCAACGAGCATGGGATATAATTGGATTAGGCAAGTGAGACTGTCCAAAGGAGAGAAGTATGCTCATGCCATCTGAGGAAGATGATGGCTCTAACACTGACACTGCCAGCTAAGTCCAGGCCTAGCTGATCCAGAAACATCTAACCAGGTTTTCCTCTCAAACTAGTAAATTCGGGAATGTGAATTTGACTGATCTGAAGAGAAATTTTAAAAGTAGCAACCCAGAGGAGAGAGGCTTGAGGACATAAGGTAGTAACCTTGCTGACTGCCATTCTCATTCAAAGAAGCAGCTCAATTCTGAGCTGAGTTAGTTTCCAAAATGCATCTCTATACACACATTCAATCTCGGATTGTTGCGTTTGGATTCAAATTGCCGTGGAGTGTAGGCAGGACAGGTAGGGACTTCTAACCCCAGTTACAGATTTATATTTCTGAGAGCAAAAACAACATCCTCATAATTACATTTTTTGAATCGACTGACAGATCTAAGTTCTCCACTTTACCTATTATAGCAGGAGTGAAATGTTAAAATCACCTCCAAAAGCATCTCTGTATTCCCAGCACCTAGCACAAATGCCCTACAAATATTACATACTCAATATATTTTAGATGAATAAATGAGTCAGATGGATGAATAAATTAATGAAAGTCCCACTTCTTCCATTCCTTCACTATTCTCATCCTACACAACAATGGGGAAACAATATATTTTCAAGGAATGCACTCATCCCATGAGTCCTCAGGAAAGCTCACATGGAAACCAATACACTTCAAAGCCCCACATATTGTTGCTTAGGGCCAAAGGTGCCATCTTATGCAAATGAAATGAGGATCTCCTCATCAAGAAAATACAATCATAAGAAATAAAATTCAAAGAAGAGAAATTTCAGATATTGCTGCATTTCCAGCAGAATGAAGTTAAAACTGCCTCCAGACACCTGCCGCAATGATTTGATGGATGAAGCTCCTGTTGGAACACTTCATATATGCAGCTCTCAGGGACACCTGGATCTCAAACTATGGAATAATACATATTCAAAACACTGATGTTTCACTGTCAGCATAGAAGAAAGAATAAATTAAAAAGCCTGGTATATTATCCAGTCTGATATAAATTAATTCAAACAACATATTTAAAATAGAGTCAATTATAAGTTTCTCTCATCATATATTTTAAAAGGCAGCAATCAATCCTCAGATTGTACAAGTGCAAAAGAATGGTATTAATGCCATAATCAAGATGCCTCAATATCTGTGTAAGAACGGTCAGTGTTCCAAATTCAGCAAAAACTCGGGTCTCCACAAGTTTAAGCAACCTTCTGATCATACTGCTCCTTTTCCTTTAATGTCCAGCTTGTTACTGGCCTCTGACTGTTTGCTCAGCTGCTCTTCAGAAAATGTGATGTAGGAATACACCAGGCTCCCAGCAATGCTGCAAAACAGAAAACCACCATCAGGGAGGGAGGAAGGAAGAAAAGAATGAAGGAAGGAATGGCAAATGTGTGGCAGAGTGGTGCAAAGATAGGAGTACCTTTATAAACCATTGTTGTTGTTGTTGTTGTTATGTGCCGTTGAGTCAGCCCTGACTCATAGCGACCCCTCCTTGGGTTTCCAAGGCAGTATCACTACGGAAGTAGGATTGCCCAACCTTCCTTCCGAGGAGTGGCTGGTGGGTTTGAACCGCCAGCTTTCTGGTGAGCACTCAAGTGCTTTAGCCACTATGCTACCAGAGCTCCTTATAAACCATTAGCACATAAAATTAAAACAGATATAGCATATTCATCTACCAAACTAGCAAAGACACCTCCACCTCCTTCCCCGCATGGTGCTGCTGAGGCTTAGGGAAAATGAATGTTACACACACACTTGCTAGTATGAGTGTTAATTAGAAGACAATTTGGTGAAATCAGAAGTGTCAGAATTTTGCTTATCCTTTGACCCAGCAATCTACTTCATGGATGTACCATGAACACCTCAGATTTAGCTACGAAGTATTTATCCCAAAAAGTATAATGGCAAAAAAATTAGGTAAAGTATAAATGTCCCACTGTGGGAAATTACATAAATTCACAGAATGGAATACTATGCAACCATTAAAAAGAATACAAAATGAAAATAGGCAATGACACCTTAAATGGGGGGAAAAAAATCTAGTCCTATTTTACTTAAATGAACATGTACATGGACATGAATCAAAATGGACAAAAGACTGGAAGGAACACACCAAAAATCTTAATAATGGTTGTATGTAGATGGTGAGATTACAGGTAATTTATTTTTGAGTGTTTTTCTTACATGTACAAAAGGTGTTAGAAAAGCATTTCAAAAGCATTCAAGGTGAATAAAAGTTATTTTCTAGTAAGAATGGAAAATACTCCAATTACTAAGTAAGTATGGAAATCTTGGAGATTCACCGAGCTAGTTTCTCTTTGGTTAGAAGGTAGTTCAGAGTAAACCCACTGCCACTGAGTAGATTCCAATTCATAGTGGCCCTACAGGACAGACTAGAATTCCCTTATAGGGTTTCCAAGGCTGTGAATCTTTAGGAAAGTAGACTGTCACATCTTTCTCCCATGGAACAGCTGATGGGTTCAAACCACTGATCTTTTAGTTTGTGGATGAGCGCTTTAACCACTGTGGCATCACGGCTCCTAACTTCAGAGTGGAGAACCAATAATCCAAGCCCTCAGACTCTGACATTTGGTTTGTCACTAGTCTACCACACCTGGTAGCATAGTGGCTAAGACACTTGCCTGCTAACCAGACGGCTGGCGGTTCAAACCCACCAGCCACTCCTCAGAAGGAAGGTTGGGCATTCCTACTT